ACAATGGTACTGGGAGCTTTAGACGGCAACGGCTGAGCTGACGGTTGCTCTATAATCCCAATCGGATAGCATGGGATTGGTCGGAGTGTGGGAGGTACCAACATGTCACCTATAAAGATTTTTCCTGACCCAAGCTGTAAGCGGATATCAAACTTGGCGAGAATATCCATTCCGAGCACTAAATCAGCGCTTAGATTAGGGAAGTGTTTGATGTCCTCAACGACGGTACGGTGGCCCAGCGTCAATGATATCGAGTATGAATCCTGAACCTGAATGGTACTACCATCAGCTAACCTTGCAGATGAAAGCTCTGTCTTTTTGGGCTGCTTCTGGTTAGCCAGATACCTAGCCAGGCGGTTTCCCAGGTAGGATAGGGACGCTCCAGTATCTAGAAGGGCGGAAAACGGGACTCCTAGTATTTCCACCACGAGATGTGGCCGGGAGTCCGGTTCAGAAATCGGGACGGTGTCTCGGGAAGTTAATAACGACGGAAGCTGCCAGGACTTCCCTCCCGGACAGCTTCGGAGGAGTTTCCCTGATGGCTACAAGGACAATCCCTTGACATGACTCCTGGTTTCCTACAACGGGAGCAGAATAATTTTCCCGGGTTCGGACAGTCACTTCTCATGTGACCTTGCTCGCCACATTTCCAGCAGACAGCCGGGGACGATGTTGGTTGTGAAGCAAACTTCACAATCCGGGACGGGTAGGCTTCACGCCGTGGTTCCGCAACCCTAACTTCGTTGGGTCTTATTTGTGTCGGGTACGAAGGTCCGCGATATCCAGTACTTGTACTGGGGTGCTCAGTGGAGTCCGAGACCCTGTAGCGGGGTGACGGGGACCGGTTTCCGGTAGTACCTGGTTCCGACTGCAGTTCCTTTAATAACAAGTCGCATTCCTTGACCGCTTGCCAAAAGGAAGGCAAATCGCTGAAATCCGTTTTCCGGATCTGTTGACGATATTTAGGCAGTAGGTTTCGGTACAGCCACTCTAGCTGTTCTTCACCAGTTAATTTCCCATGCCTCCTCATGAGGGTCTGCAAGTCGGTAATGTAGGATGTGACAGCTTCATTCCTACGCTGCATACGGCGGCTAATCTCGGCGTACAAGTCTACATAGTACGACACGGGGAAATAGTAGATGCGGAAGCCTCGCTCGAAGGCTTCCCAATCAGACCAGCTCGCTCGGTTGTTACGGAACCATGATGCGGGTTCCCCGGTTAACAGTTCGGGCATGTACGGCAGTACACGGTCTTTGACGATGCCTTTGGAGAGACAGATCTCGTCGAGGCGTTCCAGAAAACTGGCCGGATCATCACGGTCTCCAAATGATAATTTCCACTCGTGAATCTTAAGGGGTTCGGAGTTGACGTCGATGACGGGAGGTGACATGGTTGACTGCGAGTCTCCCTGTACTTGTAGGGGAAGCTGGTCGGGAACCGGCGTATTATTGCGGAGGGATGAAACGAGTCTTTTTCGTTTCTCGAGTAAGGTTCCTTCGGTGGCTAGGCCTTCAGCCCTTAGTCGGGCAGTTAACTCGGATTTCTTAAGGGTATATACCCAACCTACCCTTGTGGTTGGTGCTTCACCCAACGCCGGTTCTTCCAGTACTATCGGTACTACGGCGAACTCAGTGATCCAACCCGGTTGAATATCGTCTTCCTCGTTGGCTTCGGCAAATATGTCATCACAACCTTCACTTGACATACACCCCGGATAGAGTCGTCACACTTGATACTTCGGTGCCACGGATACCCAGAGAGATTAAAAAAAAATCACGAGGACCCGGGAGAGAGAAAGAAGAAAAAAAAAATTTTCTAAGTCCCCAAAACTTTCAAAAAAAAAATCTCTAAAAAAAATTAAAAAAAATTTTCGGAAAAAAAAAATTTTCAAAAAAGAGTTTTCCACATTAAAATTTTAAACTGGTGTCCTAAACGGTTTGTCCTAAACAGGGAAAGAGAAAACTACGGTATCCGGAAGAGAAGCAATAAACAAGGGAAAACTACCCCTTCGGTATACTTCTCGGCAGTGTGGTCTAACAGTGAGGTCTGCAGAAAAGTCCCTGCGCGGGCGCCATTTGTGACATGTCTCCTGATTCACCTACAGTGCTTCAGCGAGTCTGTGGCGCTATGAATGTAATTCCCGAATAGGGGTTGCTCAGGCGCCAGTTTTGATATCGCAGTTTGCTCTGCGGCCCTGGGGTGCACGTAGAGTACACCCTCAGTAGACTCAGTGGAGTCCAGGTACAAACAAAAAAAAATAAAACGGATAGACCTTCACTGTTAAGTTGACCTACACTGGGGTAGTAAAGTAAATAAAGTTTTTCACTGCACTTTTACCTATTGATCACTACGCCCTGAAAACGGAAAAAGCAAAGGCGTAATTCAAAATTAAACTCAGGAATTTCAATCAAAAATATATTTACAAAATAAATGAAATAAGTATATATATATATATATATATATATATATATATATATATCTGTTTAATAACGGTAATAAAATAAATGCAGAATTATGTATGTTGATAAAATAAAAGGTCTCGGTATTTACAGAAAATGATATAACGGTAAAATTAACTATGACCTATACTATACCCATAAGAAAATAAAAATAACAATTTTCCCTTTAAAAAAAATTAAAACGGTGGGCACTAACACCCTTAGCACAAATTCTTTGCTATTAATGAAAACGGCCGGTTTTAGCCATAAGAAAAAAATCTACAATAGTAAAACTAAATATGATTCAAACTATACGTTTTAAAAATAAAAAAAATTAATAAGCTACTCTCAGTAATAAAAAATATCGGTAATCTGCCAACGGTGGTGAACAGTATCACCATCCACTCATAAGAGAAAAAAAATGACGGATGCCTTTGTAAGAACGACGCCTAATATCCTCCCCGCAATATTATTTTACTAGGCACAATAGACCAAATAACGGGTGTCTTAAAGCGGTATTATTCGACCAATACTTGGAGAATTTGTATTTTATTTATTCGGTTTCAAATTTCTCTTATGTAGACATCTGGCAATCCATAGCTTCTACAAAACAGAAACAGCTGCGACTCTCGACAGGGATAGCAAGCGAATACCACTATCATCCCTTGGTTAACACGAAAATGGTTGAAGGGCACTAACGCCCCGGATTTAAATACAATTCGTTACCCTGACAGGTACTAAGAAATCAAAAATATCGGTCGAATAACTCAGGTAATTAATAGTACGGAAGTGAATGTTACAGGGAGAATTATTAGACGGAATTTTAAATAAAAAGGCCTACCTTAATTAACTTCTTCACAAAAATCGCTTTACGGTAAAAACGGCACTTCAGCAAAACAACTTTTATTACTAGCGAACTGACGGCGTAGCAGAAGGAAAAGAGAGCTCCTTCATCGCAAACATTTAGTTTTATCAGAATTCGTACTTTTGCCGGAGTGGGGCGGTAGCCCCACCTAGAGGAAATAAATTGTTATTGCAAAAAAAAAGTTAATTGATCAGCTTACTGATAAAACCTACTAGAATTGCAATTTTACAAGACGATTTACATTATTGTGATATCGAAAAGTTTTAAACTACGAGGGCTCTTGCAAATGTTTAAAAACGGTAATTCTACGGAAATATTAGTTACAGGGGGTCTTGCAAATGTTCATAGATGGAAATTAATTTTAGAAATTAATTTATGGAATAAATTAATGGGAATTTTAGTGACTTCGTCACAAAATGAAGTGTCGTTATAGTAATTTTTCCATTCCCTCTTATTTTTCATTGTGAACCAGGATGTGTTCTAAATAATAAAAGCACTTTTTTACAACTTTTACAACTAAATTGCCATCTAATACCTAATACAGCAAGTACAATTTGTAAGGTATTTTTTTCTAATTTATTTAATTATTTTAAAAATAAATCGGATTCAAAGTTAGGATTCCCCATTCAACCATTTACTATTGGATTCTTATTAACAGTGCTGTTCCTAAAGTAGCTCTGCGAAACAGTAACAAAACCTACATTACGGAAGTACCTATAATACTTCTCCGTAACCTACACAAATTTTGTCTGTCTTTCAAATCCAATAAAAAATACAACTTGTATTGTTCTCGAGTTGTTTTTTGTATTCTTTTGGAATAGTTCTCAGTTTTTTTTAATATATCCATACTCATTTAAATAAACCCTACATACAATACGACCAGCAAAAATCGCCCGCGAGAAACAGAATTCCTACGAATCGAGAATCGACCCCCTGATCGTGTTGTAGGTTAAGAACAATAATTAATATATTCTGAAAAACAAATGAATATATCTACTGGTAGAATTTTTATTTTACGTTCCAAAAAAATCTCAAATATACCGGGTGTTCAAATTAAAGGGTTACAGTTAAATACCGAATTTTATAAAAAAAACAAAGTTTTATAGTTTTTTTGGGTGTTACTCAATAAGTAGAAATCCAATAAAAAAATGTTTCCTTTAGAAGTTTCTTATTATTTTATGAAAAAATAGGGTTCCAATTTGAAAAAAAAATCCACCTCGATATGGCCATATTATGGTCAGCTATAAAAAAATTAATTTAGCCAAAATGTTTCCCCTAAAAAAGTATAAAACTTTGGTCTGATACTTTTTTTTATAAAATGCATATTTTTGGCGATATTTAACTGTAAAACTTTAATTTAAACACCCGGTATAATCATCAACATACGTTCTTTTATCACAAAACACTAAATTATAATACCAACTTACTAGAAATCATCGTTCAGATTTGGTAACTAGAAACAACGTAGCGACTTTGTTATTGAATAGAGTTTCAAAAATTATCGTTATAAAAGTCGTTGGTTGAACTGTCGTTAGCTTAACGATGTCGTTCATAAACGATGAATTACTGAATAGGGCCCTTGTCTGATTTACATAGGGATGAGCAATCTATAGCAGCATATCATTGATTCTATGTTGGCAAGTGACAAATGACAATTGACTTTGAAGTTAGTTAATGTCAAAAAATATAAATAAGTATAAAATTGTTTTATATTTTAAACTACAAATAACTTATTCTACATGAAATAATAAATAACCGAATAAATTAAAATCTTAACAAGCTCTCTAGACGCAATCTCAGGATGAACAAACTAAGCATAAAAGCTGTTCTTGGATGTACCCTCTTAATAACGACTCTTCTGTCGACGATAATTCTAGTTTTATATCACGTTCTAACCGGCAAGGGAGAAAGAATAAGTATTGGATGGTTTCTTGAGAATACATCGCCACATATGTGGTGTTGCCTGGGCATAGGTCTTTCTGTTTCATTATCCATTGTAGGGGCCGCTGTGGGTATTCACACAACAGGAGTCAGTATTATTGGCGGAGGAGTTAAAGCACCTAGAATTAAGACTAAGAATCTCATTTCTGTAATTTTTTGCGAGGCAGTTGCTATTTATGGTTTGATTATTGCCATTGTCTTGTCTGGGTACATGGAAAATTTTACATGGAGCCTGGTTTTAAAAGAAGATGATTTGAAGAGTAAAAATTGGCTTGCAGGTAAGATATATTACATTTCAGCTGTTGGTCCTTAACTTTGACTGGACTATATTGGATATGTTCGATTCTATGTCATTCGAGATGATATTTTTATGGTTCCCAAATATTGTACATCCACTTGAAATGGTTTACCAGTTAGTAAGCTAATACCTAGACAAACCATACTGCCCGTAATAGTCACCTCCAACTTTTAAATCGATATTACTCAAAATTACATTTTTGGACATACATTATTTGTCCTCTTGGCCATCGATATATTTATATCTTGTTTGAATGTTATTTTCTAAGTTTAATATCCCAAATCCTCCTTTACTGCTAATAACAATTTCCTTTCAATACTTTGTTTTGCACTAATCTCTATTCAGTTGAAATTTTCAGTATTCTGCATTTTTACTTTTAGCAAGCTCCCCAAAGACTTTGTTTCATACATTTGGTTTTAATTTTTCAAACTATTCTGCTGGTTAGAATAGTATAGTAGGAAAATAGTGTTCAGCACATCTTTCTCCGACATATAGCTTTAAAATTGAGTGTTTGTAATATGATTTCATGGAACAGTTACTGAATATCATTTCCTTGAAAACTAGGTAAAAACAGAGAGGCCTTACTTTGCTATTTAATATTATAATTGAAGAGCACACAGCAAAAATGATGAAAGTCACTTTTATTAAAAAAAAATGACAAACGCACAATAAACCTTACAGTTACGGAGTTATTTCAGAAACAAAAAATGGTAAACACAGTAAAAAACGATGATTTTCATATGCAAACACAGTAAGGTCAGTGTATGACGTATGCAAAGAAGAACAAGAAAGAAAATATGTTTTTCATGTAATGTTATTCAAAGAATGCTGGAACAAAATGGCTACTAACTCATTTTAGTTAATATTCCTACTCTATTTTAGTTTCGAAACTTAAAATTTAATTAATGGAGAATTAACTTTTAATGGTCTTCATCGTTTTTGCTTTGTACTCTTCAAATAGTAGATGTAATTGCCCTGAACTCCTTGAAAAAATAAATCTTTTTCAAACTCGTTCAACTAGGCAACCGCAAACATTTTGTGTACCTTTTTATAGATCAAACCAAGCTTTTAACAGCTGCATTACAAGAATGCTTAGATAAGCTAACTTGCACAATGATCTCAGGCTGTTCAATATTCCCTTTTCATCATTCAGCTTTAATGCTGTTTTACTATGTATTTTCTTTTTTTTAACCTTTGAGTAACCTATTTTATTTTAAATATTTCTAGTCTGTATAACATGTATAAGAAGTAATGTCTCTGTTTGTGCTAGAGTACCATAAATATTTATGATAGCCTAATTAATTCGTAATTTAAATGGGCTTGGCCGTAAATAAATAAATATAGATGTATTTCTCTAATCTCATAATAGCTATATTTTAATAATTTATGTTCATTTGACTTTCTTTTTTTATCAAAATTTGGCTGATATAATAATATAATTTTTCATATTACTCCTGATTCCCCAAATTTTTGTACCTACTTTCAGAAGAGTACATTATTGTATTAACATCCTTTTCTCATTAATAACATTCTGTTATGTCACTTTTTTGAACCATTTGTTTGGCATTTTTCCTTTTGCCCAATTTCGCTTATACTTACATGAGATTTAGAATAATTAAAAGTTGTTGGAAAAATATTAAACATTTTTTTTTTATTTTAGGATATGTAATGTTTGGATCAGGCCTCTCAGTGGGAATGGTCAATCTATTCTGTGGCATGGCAGTTGGTATAGTTGGTTCTGGAGCAGCTTTAGCTGATGCTGCTGATTCGTCTTTATTTATGAAGATTTTAGTTATTGAAATTTTTGGAAGTGCAATAGGTCTTTTTGGTCTAATTGTAGGCATTTACATGGTGTCCAAAGTTCAAATGGGAGACAAAATTCATTAAATAGCTTTTACCTTTAAATGGTTTAAAACAAGTATTAAACATTGACAACTAGTCATTATTTTAGCATTTTCATGATGACAAGACATGAAACACTAATTAAAATCCCACTAAATTTTGTCATGAATGTGAAAGAAATAAAATTTTATCAAATTAAAAAATTTGCTTCATACTTGAAAAGTAATTTAGTGTTCTTATATTTTTTTATTAAAAATATAAATTGGCACAATCTTAGTTTTAACAGTTTGTTTTTGTTGCATAAATTTTTGGAACATCTCTACAGTAATTGCCTAAAATGCTAAATGGACTTATTGGAATACCCAAAATAATTTATTAATTAACTGAATCAGACTGATCAATCTACCTATTTATTTTTTATAGTATTTTATTTTTTGATGTTTTTATTTTCGTACTTTACGTATGTTACTATTTTTTGTTTTTAAGATTACAAAGCTTAATTTTTCTAGTCATAATTTATGTGTAATTTTTAACTTATAAATGTATGTTAAATTGTTTACTAAAATAAACATTGATCTCTGCCTTGAAAAATGTATATACCTAAAAATTTAGACCTTGTATTTAATTATTTCATGTAGATGCATATCTCCCAGACTATCTTGTAATTATGGTCTATATCTCGCTTTAGGTATTCTAATATTCAAATAAAAATATAAATGTATACTTCGTTGTTTATAAATATCTGTTTTTGAAACAACTTCCTGATTAACCATTAATGTGTAGAATCATGTAAAATATAGAATTAAGAGATAATATATCTTCAAATATAGAATTTCTGTAAATCAAGATTCACAGATTGTTGGTAACATTCTTACAATATTTTGTAAGTAATTTCACAAATAAAGTATTGATGTATATGTGTAAAACAAAAAATTGTATTTATTTGTAGACATTAAAATTGCACTACTAGCTTGGAAGTTTTCTTATTTATTATTTTATAATATTCAACATTTTATCAATCGAAATTTGAATTTCCAAAAACTTCTTTTAGGTTTCTCAAGAAAACACTATTTTTAATAATAAATTTAATCAGATCTTTAAAAACATTAAAAGTAGAGGTGTAGTTAAAACACAAAACTTTGTATACAAAAACATTACATTTTATAAAATAATATAAATTAAAAAGCATTATAATGAAAATCTAATACTGATAAATCTACTCATTACATATTGCACCTGTTTTCCGCCATTCTATACACAGATATAACATACATATTAGTAAGTATCAGTAATGAAGTGTGTGAATGTTTTATAGACTGTTACTTGAAAAAGTAAGTACATTTTCTCAATCTTATAGAAGTACACTGTAGTTATGCTAATTTTTCAGTCATTTATATCTGCCTTATGGCTGATACTTTGATATAACCTGAACCAGTGCTCAAATCATTTGAATTCACAATCAAAAGTTAAATTTTTTTAACGTGCTAAAAAGCTAAGATTGCCAGAACCTTCTCTATTAGGAAAAACATTTTCTTATTAGTAATAATTATCTAGAACATAGAGCCTTTGCTTTTTATTGTATTATTAAATAGCAATTATATGAATTTCGGTCCAAAAACTTGACAAATGGAAACTATTAAGTGAATTTTAAATTATCTAATTGTATTGCTGTCTTCTCCTTGCTCGTTGTTTATCAAAACGCAACTCCATCTCTTCCAGAACTTTAGGAGTGTATCTCACTACTAGCTTTACAGATCCATGTGCCTGTTTCAACAGTTCCACAGCTTTTTCATGGTTTTCTCCATCTACAGACTAAAAATATTACTTTAGTCTAAATGCAACTAAAATAAATAATAGACAATTTAAAAACTTACCACTCCATTTACACTCAAAAGTTGGTCACCCCTCTTAAGTCCACCATGTCTATCTGCCACTCCCCCTGGTATAATCCTCGAAATATAAATTGGAGAATTTTGTTCTTTGCCTCCCATTACATTAAACCCTAATCCTTCATCAGTCTTTGGTAGCTCTACAACTCTGGGATGGGCATGCCCTTCGCTAGCTGCAAATGCTGCAACTGTAGCTTTAGCTGTGGCTGAGGCTCTTACATCTTGTGAACCTTGTATATCCACAGTTTCATATACATGTTCATACACTTCACGTACTGCATTTAGGAAATCGCTTTGAAGAACTTTTTGGAGGGCAGCGAGTTTTGTAGCTGGTACTTCACCACTTTTTTGTAATTTATCCAGGAGTTCTATAGATCTCTTAATATCTGAAATACCGTAATAAATAAAAAAATACTAATATAGATCTGGAGTCTTACCTCGAGATAATGTTAATGGTTCACCTATCTGAGCCATGATTGTGCACTTAATAATTAAATCCTAAATCTTATTCTTTTAACAAATTATTATTGACTTGATTTATCAACAATCAATCAAAAATCAGGTCAAGTGACATTTGACCACTGTCACCACACCACTGACCAGTGACATGACAGTAAAACATTGCGTTCGGTCTGCCACGTTCTTTTAACTCCTTTAACACTTTTTACTCCAAAGGGGCGTTTAGTACCATAGCTATGGTATTAAACGCGATTAAACCCTTGATCTGGATTAAACGTGTACGGTGCATACGGGCGTAACACGCTTAAATGTCATTTAAAAGCACCCTAGAAAACTCCGCTTTTGTCCCGCTCCAGCCCCTGACTATCCGAACTCGCCTAAAGAATGAATTAGCCGAGTTTGGCAATTCATGATTTGCTAGGCAGAACCGAATCAGAACCCATAATCCCTAATCGTTCAAGCTGTTTTTTCGGTTTCGTAATAGGTTCTTACATTTAAAATTTTTTTATCGTTGTCATACATAAAGATTTTCAAAACAATAAAAAATAAGCTCACATGAGATTTACAATTTTGACTATTGACTGCAAATGTTAATAGTAATTAGAATTTTGTATTGAATCCTCACAAACAAAAATACCAAACAAACACTGTTAGAAACATGTGTCGAATATAAAAGTGTTATAAAAAGAGTTGCGAGGTCAGTATCCCATAAGGTAATGTGATGCTTTTAATAAAATTGAATATTGAATGGAGCTGACTTTAGAATATAACCAATAGTATGGAACATATATACCGAAAAAAACCGTTTGGAACGAAAAAAATGTCAGAACCTATTTAAAATATTTTTTAAGCCGATAATGAACCATACCCAAGATGTTTTGTTTACTGGAACCCGAACCAGACCCGTTTATTTTATTTGGGTCCCTTAACTATCAACGGAACGCTTGGAGCACTTCGAGTCAAAAGTGTGAGGGAGTTTTGATTGCCGAACTCATCTGTTAACCAACTCTGTTTTTGTTGGAAGTGGCTAGAGATCCGTCTAATCGGACCTAACTAAAACACAACAGGTCCGTCTTAGCGTTATTCATATATTGTTAATAAATATTAATTTATGCCAGTTTTCTAAAATATTACACAAATTTTAACTAATAACCTCACTAGAAGTGTTTTTGTTACGGGAAACACTTTTGTTGTTTTTGCTATCATTTAAGGTCACGTGATTTGTATTATCTAATATTGTCTAATTACGTGTATAAAAACAGGATCTCGTATTTTCTGTTTTTAGCGGTGTCAGTGAAAATGTTTTTCCGAGGAGCTAATATTGGATTTTAAAATCAATAGTATTTTTGATAGTAGTGGTAATTCTATAACAAATATGTTAAAATTTAACGGACGTTCAAAATATAACGTATGTTAAATATGAAAAGCAATTCTGTAAATTCATGAAAAATTTTAACTTGTCATAATTAACATTATAGTTTATTTGTGCCGCAAAAATCTATTCTATAAACAGAAATATGTTAAAAATTTAACATAAATGTGTTAATATTATGCGTTAACTGGAGGATATTAATTAGTTATTAGTAGGCTTTAAAACTTAACATATAAGACTTTTGATTGTTTAATGGCCGATTCCACCGTTGTGTTAAACGGAGATTAAAATGACATCGTTAATGAAAAAATGTCATTTTAAACTTCGTTTGACACAACGGTGGAATCGGTCCTAATTCAACTTATAATGCAAGAAAATCATGAAAACGAACCATTTTGAAAGTACTCACGTAATTTTAACAGTTAAAATTACACAAATTCTATTTAGAAATTATATTTTATTTATAGTGTTTATAAATTTTTTTTAGTTAGTAATTGATTTTCTGTAGAAGGGCACTATTATAAGGTTACTGTGGTTAGTTTTATTTGTATTGAAAATTGATGGCCTACCAAATAGTTTATAAAGTACATTCGGCCACTACTTTTTTTCAATATTCTTGTGCAAAAACACAGATACAATAAACATGACAAAAGGAATAACATTTATTTGACAGACCTTTAAACTTAACCAAAGTTTTATTGAAAATTTGAACTACTTTTAACGTATGTTTATTTATTTATTTTTTTTTAATGTAACATATGCTTTAATTTTATTTTTACAAAATTACAATTTATATTAAAATCGTAAAATTTAACACCCGTTAAATATAAACGTATTGAATTACAGAATTACAAATAGTATAAAAGATTTTGAAAAATTACTAATAAACATTTCAATATTTTATTCAATTTTATCTGCGTCTGTAAGATAAAAAAACTAAAAGGGCTGTATATTAATAAGAATTTTAGACAAAACTGTGCCAAATAGGTATAAGCGTGTATTTATAAAAAAAACCAATTCAAATCCAGAGGGAAGGCAAATAAACGGACAAAGTATGTTCTTGGCTATTTATTTGAATGTATAAATATATGTATGTGTATCTTTTGTAGAATATTTTGAAAAAATATTCATGTCCTGCTTTTATTTCTCTCAATGTCTTCAAATGTGGAAATACATATTATACATTAATAATTTTTAGATGTTGTTCAGCCAATTGCTCCATAACAGAACATTTCTGAAGAGACGGCCAAAAAAACTTCTAAAAATGAACATTTAATGCGAAAAGAAATTAAAAAATTGCTCATATGCATGTAATACTTAAATATTTAAGTAAAAGAGTGAAGTTAAATTCCAATTTACCAATTGTGTATCAGTAGTATGTAAAAAAGTTGGATATAAGTTTGGTAAGTGCATTGGCTTATTTCTAAAATCTCATTTTTTACTATAATTGTTTTAGATACTGATTGTCACTTATTTATAAAAGAAAATGATTTTAAGGGACTTATGTTTTGCACTGAATCTATGAAGAATTCCATAGCAGCCTATACAGATCTATTGTGTTTTGATGCTATATACATATTTGGCTTAAATGTTTCTTTTGTTTAATGCAAAACTATAAAGAGCAACAAAAAGAAGACTATTCGTATGAAGCGAAAATAAGCGAGAAATCAGAAGAAGGTGTTGCAATCGCACTATTCTTCGTGACGCCGACGAATCTCTTCCGTTGATTCTGACACGCAAACCAACAATTAATTCAGCGTAGACCAATGATGCCAGCATATTACAATTGTAATACATTTATTACTTTTTGATTCATGGTAGTACGGTATTATCCCTTTTACACCCTATTTTAATGAACTTCGGAGAGGTGAGGACCTTTTTTTTAGAGAAGAGTTCGATCGACAATTTTAAGTAGTCATGTATTAAGTTTTGGTCTTGTTAATAAATGTTAGGTACCTGATATGTCCTTTAAACCACATAATAAAACATGTCCTGCGTTTAGTTAAATAGATATTTTTAGATGTTTGTGTAGGAACCAGATAAATGAAGATTTCCAACGAGTTAGTCATACACACATGATAAATATTATATTTATGACGATAGCACGGAAACTAAACTTAATAAATGAAACTCAAAAACACTATTTTAATGAGAATATTAACTAAAAACAGTTAAAAAAATCACAAATACAAAATCCCGCCCAAAATAAACACAAAGTAAATTGACAAACATCCTTCTTATTGGTGACAAGTGACAGGCGCGCGAAAATTAATTTAAATCGCGAATATACTTTGTTCTATCTCGATGCCAATGGCTGCGTTCATCCGCGCCATTTCAAGGAGCGCTACAAAAGTAGCGATCACTTACGCTAACTGATCGATCTTTATGCACGGATGAACCATGTTTAAAAGTGACATTTGATTGTGGTGTATTAATTTTACTTTTGAGTTGAATGTCTCTGGTTGAAAATTTGTTTGTTTATTTGTGGTTTGTTTATTTTTCAATTGCTAATATAACCCTACTAGTCACCAAGCAAACCGTAGACGTAAGTGCGTAAGACAGATCAGTGATCACCGATCAGCGTAAATAAAATGCGCTACTTTTAATGGCGGCCGCTCCTTAAGCGAAATGTCAAAATACACCGTTCATACGTGCCACTCGAGAGCGCTACCAGATCGATCAGGTAGCATGTGGCGCGGATGAACACAGCCAATGACTTATTTTGTTTGTTTATTTGTCTTGCCTCTGGATTAGGAATTAATTTCCTCTCTGAATACACCCTTATTTGGCAAAATATTATTACAAATTATCATTAATGTAGCGCTTTGTGTTTTCTTACAGGCGATACTGTTTCACTGTATCGTCTATAAAATTAAACAACTAATAATATTTTTGGAATTGTTTGTTAGAAATTTTTCATTATTTTATACTTTCAAATAATGTATTGATTTTAAAACCAATATTACTTCCCGGAAAAATAAATTTTTACTAATAATGATGACACTCCTCAAAAAATAAATTACGAGGTAACATTTCTATGTCAATTCTAAGGGTCTATTTATACTCCCTTAGTATTAGTATTTGTATTAGTATTATGATTAAGCATTAAATTTGTTAAATCATTCAAAAAAGGTATTTATACTCGTTTTATAATTAGTATCGTTGTATGAAGATAATATAGTAGGATAATGCAACAGTAAAAAGTGTTGGATGCAATCTCGAGCGGCATCTAGTGACGATTTAATGAAGTAGTCAATTTTTAATGCTATGCAGATACGCCATCTACGTCTTCTTTTCGTTCAGGCACATGGCCTCTATCACCTACCTATTATAGTTAAAAACATCTTTATTTATTTAAAAATAACAATTTATGATAAAAGACATGAAAAATTAAACATAATAATGAAAATTTATTCCAGTTGACAAAACCGTACGAATAAAATTTTTGGATTAAGGTGATAAAAAGTGGTTAAGGACTTTGGTCAATATTTTGGTTATGTGCGGCAGGGGTGGGAAACTGGTATGCGCAGGCCTGGGATCAATCAACCACGTCCGCGTGGCGCTGCAGTCGGGTGGTGGGGTAGGTGGTGGGAGTGTAAATGACAGGTGAATATTGATTTTTGTGGGGGGTGTCATGGCGTCTTGGCTTAAACCAAACGTAAACTTTGTTTATTTATATTGGCGACTGTTGTATTCAGTTGTTTTCATTTCCAATTTGCTTAATTGATTTAGTTGACCACTGTTAATAAGCTTGTTTTT